TTATAATATTGTATGTAAATTATTGTAAGTGTACTATGAACGGCCTTATTTTGTTAAAAGGTCATGTTGTCGATGTCAAAAGTCTCATTGTATGTTATGAAGCATGAGAGGTTTTGCGGAATTTTTCTGATAAACCTGGTTTGCCATTATTTTTGCTGAAGTGCGTTCTGTATGGCACAGGTTCATCATTATTTTTCATTTACGTTGGAAACTTCAAAATCTACAACAAGAGGGCCCAGGTGGCCCTAGATCGCTCAACTGAGAAATAGGTCAAAAGGTAAAACTAGAGCCTCGTTTCACCCAAGAAGCACAATTTGAAAACAAGGGACAGGGGCCAATTTTGACTTTATGGCCTTTATTTGAACACTCGTGGTAGACATCCCCTAGAAGATCTTTCATGCCAAATATCTTATCTATAGTGCTTTTGGATGTTCACAAGAAGATTTTAAAAATTTTACTATATACATATAGGGAAAATCAATGTCCCCTGGGGCCGGGCCAATTTTGACCCTAGGGCTTTCATTTGAACAATTCTTACTTTAAGGACATTGTTCTCATGTGAGCTAATTAGCCCTTTTACGCAGTGTAGTATGATTTAGCGTCATAAGATATTTTCTATTAAAGGATAATTCTAAACAAATCCATAGGAATTAAAGCGTGCAAAATTCTTAAATAATTATTTAATAAGAAATAAATTGTGCATATTTTTCTTTTTTTACATCAGTCGGATTTGATTGTGTAATGGTCAAGAAAGCAATCAATTAAAGTTGGTAAAGGCTTTGAAAAAAGAGTGTTTAATAGGAAACGTTTCATTATTCGGACAGTTCATAATGTGGTCCATAACAGGCACAAAAATGGCTTAAGAGACAAAAATAATACGAATTAAGTATGATCTCTACACACGTAATCGACAAGTCGATCTTTTAACAAAGATCTTTAAACAAAGGCTATTGACAGCAAATAGACACTTACACTTCTTTGAGTCGCTGCAGTTCCTTTGTATGACATAAAAAATAATTTTATCAGAACAGAAATTAGCCACTTTACAATTTTGTGCACAGAGCAGACGACAACTGTTTCCTTTCTGTTGTTAATTACATTTTCATTTGTGCTGAATAAGCAAAAATAGCGTCTGCCTTGAAAACCATCAAGTAAAAGCAATCAATAATCAAATTCAACAGATTAAATAGCTAAACAATTGGAAAAAGGTTTTCATGTATACTTATAAAATAAAACTGTTTTTGCTTTCCACAAATAAATGAGCATGATATAAATTTTGCTAAAGTCTCTTGTGCTATATTTTCTATGTTTTATTCTTAAAATTTATAGTATTGAAATGATAACCTCTTTGTAGCGACGTGGCCTGGTGATTAACGCGTGGAACTGGTGACATTAGGATTGCTGGCCGCGAAGGAAAAAATCATGCCAGGGGCAAGTCGTTGTTTCCTTGAGCAAGAAAATTTACACTCATTGCTAAGTACTGGTTAGTTCCAGGAAGTACTTGTTAGTTCCAGGAACTGATTCGAGTGTTTCAATAGGCTTATAGATTCAAACATAATCGAACAAAATAAATTTGAAAAAAAGCTAAAACAAACTCTCGATTTCTCTCCTACTCTCATTGGGTGAAAATTAAACAAATGTCTCTACATTTTACGATTTTATTTAAATCGGTCAATAATAGATCTATGAAAGGAATCCAAATGTAACAAGTAATAAAATAAACGTTTAGAATATGTACAAAGAACAGATGAAATGGAACTTGCGTTTATTGTTCTCGTGGGCACGTATTTCTCTCTTTCCAATTGACGTTAGATTTAAAGTTTAATTTTTTACTTATATTTCAAGAATCTCATCATTTGCTTGCCTTTGGTTTTTTGGTTTTTTTTTGTAAAAAGAACAGTCATTATATTCGGCAGATTGGGTTTCATGTTGAGATATTGGGATGTTCCTATTATAGTAAGTATGAAAAATGTCATAATTTCTGGAAGTAAACATGTTAAGGGTACTGGAGAAAACCTTGTAAGGAATCTATCTGAGTATAATTTCAGTTGTTTGTTTCAAACTGCATGTCTTAAAGTATTTTGTTCATCAGACCAAAATGAAATTCATACCACTTGTGTAGCACAAATAACAACCATTATATCTGGAAATTCGTCTATCATTGTTGACCTTGTCGTAATACTGTGTATTGTTTTCAAAATGTATTTTGCCAGGGATTATTTGTCTCTGCTGAAACATTGTTGCATCAGGAAATATGAAACTTAACAACAACAAAAAACCACCAGATTTCGCTTAACTGATTCGAATGATTTATCAGACAGTAATGGGCCATAAAAATAATTTAAAAGTAGTAGTAAAATGTTATGCTGTCAAGGTCAAACTGCTTCTTTGGTTTCTTTCTAGATACATTGAAGCCATTATTACGTCAGAATATGTAGATCACTACGTATTTCTTTTCTACATAAATTTATAAAAGAAAAACATTATCATGCTGTTCAACTGTGGCATTTTCAATTTGTTGAAATATTAAGCCAACATTAGTTCCTGATTGATTTTTACCATTTTGTTTATAGGGCTTTAGATATTTCTTGGTGCCTCAGCAAAACATTGAAAATGAATAAAACAAGAATCAATTGTCGTCTGCAATATGGAATTTTGGAAAAATGCCAATATAAATGTTATCATATTGTATTCTTTTGTGAATTTACTATCAATGGCCTTATTTTGTTTGAAGGACATGTTGGCAATGTTAAAAATGAATTCAAGTCCCATCGTGTGTTATAAGGCATAAAGATATTGCGAAATTTTCTGGTTAACCAGGTTTTCCATTATTTAGCTTCACTTCTCTCTGTACGGCACCTTATAGGTTCATCACTATGATTATACACTGATGTTGGAAACTTCAAAATCTGCAAAAAGCCCTTAAAAGCACCGTATTATGACAACGTTGCATTAGATATTTACGATTCCCTGCTTATTCTAAAATTATATCATCCAAAATAATTAATTTGATGTTACCAAAGCATGCAATGACCATATAAGAAAAAACTACTTTAGCATATTTTTAAATTAGTAAAAAATATCGTCCCATTATTTGTGTTATATATGTGTTGGTCAGGAAAGCAAGAATTGAAAGTTCGAAAAGAGTTTTGAATAGGAAGTGTTTCATATAATGTTGTCTGTTAGAGGCACAAATATTGTTCACAACACACAGATAATACGGCTTAAGTATGGCCTCTACACATTGACAAGGCTTTAACTGTAGACAGACATGTACACTTACTTGTATGAGTCGCTGCAATTCCTTTGTATGACATTAAAATATTTTTATTAGAACAGAAATTAGCAACTTTGCAATTTTGTGCACATAGCAGACGACAAGTGTTTCCTTTCTGTGGTTTATTGCATTTTAATATATGCTGAAGCAGCAAGAAATGGCGTCTGCCTTGTTAGCAGTAAATAAGAATGCAAACAGTAATTCAATTAAAAACGGTTTGATAGCTTAACAAATGGGAAGTGTTTTCAAACAAACTTATATAATTATTTTACTTTGTCTATGTGCATATGTATAAAGAGCATGATCTTATATTTACCTAGTTCTCTTATGATATATTTTTTTTATATTTGAATATTATAAACATGTAAGTATATACTACTCTGTATTGCGGTGTGGCTTATTGGTTAACGCGTAAGGATTGCTGGCAGCGTGGTTTCAAACCGTGTCAGGACCGAGCCGTTGTGTCCTTGAGCAAGAAACTTTACACTCATTGCTAAATACTGGTTAGTTTCAGGAACAGATTCGAGAGTGTTTTAATAAGCTTATAGCTTAAAACACAAACTAAAAAAATCGTAAAAACTAAATGATATCTTTCTCCCATTCCTCACACAAAAAGCCTAGGAAACAAAACATAGCTGATGCATATATTCTTCCTATTGCCAAAACTAAATATATGGGAAGCTTGATCTTGACAGGATAATTTCACATGACACACCTTTTTCCAATAAAAGTTCGGAAATCGGAAATTACTGACGCATTCGCTGTTATTATCTTAGAAAAAAAATTGGTGTCTAAGTGATAGGTTTAGGTTTTCCAAAATTTCGGAGAAAAACTGGATATTCCTAGACTTTTGTGCGAATTTTACAACTATAAGAAAACCATGATTAATCTGTGTCTTAACCTTGTACGTCTGTTCGGTTGTGTGTTTTTTTTTAACAATATACAAAAGCACTCAATCAACACTTTTTGAAACAAAGTTATAGTGCAAGTACCAGACATTAGACTTTTTCAACTTGACTGGCGGTCAATGTTAAAGTTTATTTGCCAGAATATGGTCCTTGTTCTTGTTTAGAGGCAAGTATGAAGTGCCAGCCTTTTGATTAAAAACTTTAATGTTAAATGTGTCAAAGAAAAGAATATAGACTGAGCTTGGTCTTTGCAGAAGACATACAAATTATCAAACACACCGACAATAGGTATTGACTTTAATTATTTTTATTGGCCATGACAGTGGAAGTTTATCAATAATATTGACAACGAGTCTAAAGTAAGTTTAAATCTTTATCAACCGTTAGACGATTACAAATTACTTGTACAATCAGAGCTTATTGTACAAATGAAAACAATTTGTTCCGATGAATATTAGATCAATAAAAGATAACTATGCATTTTGTACTAATTCAGAAAATATTTTAAGTTTAAAATTTCGCAGCTTATAAGAGAATCTTTAATTTTCCACATTTTTTCCGTTTAAATTTAATAATGCTTAAATTGTTTTAATATGCACACAATATACAAATTCACAGTTAAACAAAGTAAAGATAATAATTAAGTGTAGATACAAAATGTTTGGGCCAAAAGTTTTATACGATTATCGTTGGCCATCCTCAAATACATGAGTTTTCGCGGTCAAGAAGTAATATACCTTGAAGTATTTTTTTAGTAAAAATATTGTAAAGTGATCAGAACATTTGCCTTATATCTTGTTTTATTATTTACTTACTTTTGACGTAACGGATTGCTCCATTTCTCCGCATTTAAGACACGTTAGGTTACCGCAATCTGCGCATACATTTTGTCCTTCCGTCATCTTGCCCTCCTGTATTTTCAGTTCGCTTTCCAGACAGATTGGACATAATGGAGAGTCTTTATTGAGTTCACCAGCTGATGCCACAACCTCATTAGTTCGTCTTTCCACATCGGCTGTGTAAGCGACATACTCTTCTTCTAGCTTCCTGAAAATAGAAGACTAAACATATGTAAAATTGATATTATTTTTGCCGTATTTGTTGTGCATCTCTTTTTGCTTTAAATCTATATTATTTGCATACATTGATGAATAAGTTGCATTGTTAAATCTCTCCTTAACAAATATTTTTATTCCCATTTCTATTGTTTTAATGTATTTTATACATTGTTATCAGTGTTTATTTTCTATGTAAATATTTGGTTTCAAAGCGAAATTTCAAGGATCCGCCAACAATATCTAACAACGCTATTTGATGGACCCTGATAAGTATAAACACAATAATTTATCGATGACAACTTCCTATAAAACAAATAATATTGTTATCAATGATTTATTTTTCTTTCCATTCTCTCTTTATTTGACTCCTCATCCTATAAAACACGTTTATGGAATAAAGCAATTCTGAAACATCAAAAGTTGCATTGCTATCGGCTGACTTTATATTAACATTTAAGACCGGGGTAAACTGGATTTTCAGGAGGAATAGATCTAAACGTTTCTATCTCATCAGCAAAAGAACTTCCCAAGTGATTTACTTCATCAATATTCATAACAAAACATGGCAACTTGTAATCTTGATCGATAGCAATCTTTATAAAGTCGAGTCCGATGGCTGTTGTGGTATGTAAATGCATGTTTATATATCAATGCATAAAATAGGCATGATATAAAAGTTTCATATTATATGGCATAATCAATACAGTATCTGCAAATATTTTAGTATACTTGTGACTGAAAGATAGCCTTTACGTGTTGAAGCATCAGAATTACAGAGCGACTATATGGTCGCATTATTAAAGTATATGCATCTCGTAGCTCCAGCAGGTGTGGTGGTTGTAACCAATGGTGTTGCTTTAAAGTTTGTAACACCCAAGATTAGACAAAATCATATTTCCTGTTTCGGCGCCTTATGACATAAACTGTGTTCGTGCGCCGTAAAACCAAATAAATCAAACAAAGTCTACTTAAGCCGTTGCTAGGTATCTGAATAGTAGCTTAGGTTTACATATGCCGTCAAATGGCTTGTTATGGTCCTTTATGGTCGTCACTTCAACTGCATGTATAATTGTAATATTCCCTATGATAGAGCAGACATTAAATGGGCAATAGGTTACATTTGTAAGTATGTTTAGACAGCATTACATTTACTATTATATTTACTATTTGCGTAAATGAATAACTATATTTTACAAAGAAGATGTATGATAGTTCCATAATTAATACGCAATAGATGAAAAGCTGTACTTTATGAAGGTGATGAAGTATAGATCCATTATCAATGCGTCGGAATCAGGATTTGCTGATATGCAAGTTAGATTGCAGGTATGACCTAAGTTCCTTTTTGACACAATCATTAAAATGCTGAAAGTAACTTGAGCTTACTAAGCCTGAATGGATAATTTAGTGATACTGGTAAAATGATAACAAGACAGTATAAAATTGTATCGTGTATCACACCGATCCTGAATTCAAAAGACTACTCTGTTAAACGTCGGCTTGAATATTATAAAATACTGCTACCGGGGGAAATATATCTGTTATTAAAACGGCTAAAGGCTGGAATAACGCTCAAGACTGCATGTGTATTTTCCAAATCCTATTACAGCTTTCAATTCACAATCAAGATTTATCTCTCTGTCTTCTACATACCCCTTTGTATTATACCCTTAGTGTGCGGATGATAAGACAATTCCATCAAGGAAGATTCAAGAATCCAGTCAATAATATGGAACATTAACTACATCTGTGCGATATATAAAATATATACATTATATGGGTTGGTATCAGCAGTCGCAAATTTTCCTCCTTACATATTCCCCAAAACATATAATTTAACCAGAATAGACAGTAGCAATTTATACAAAATGCAATGATTTATTTGTCTCCTAGTTTTGTCAATGGCATCTTGTGATATATCGTGATTACTGACTTAACTATCGTGTTAGAGAATAGAAATTCTGAAACAAGGAAATCCCTAGAGGGCAATGGAAATAAAGTAATAAGGAAAAATTACAGACAAGTTTGTGTTGGATCTTTTTCGCTGGAGGTAATAACCAGCGTAGCATCAATCGTGCGCTCTGTCCTCGTTTTGGGGTATTCCTCTTGCAAAACAGCAATTGTTTTGAATGAAGGACCTTGTCCCTCTTTTCTATCTTTAAAAAGTCAATTTAACAGAAGCATTTAAGGGAAGAAAAAATGGCATATGAAGACATGATTTAACATTTTCTTGATTAAATATTAGATGTTAGATGCTTCCTTAAAATATCAGGTGAAATAATGCCTGTATATAATATATGAATAAATAATTAAAGCCACGCCTGTCGACAACACCAAGTCAGTCTCACACACGAAGAGTCCCTAGCAGAGAGCTATATAGAAATGGGACAAGACATGGAATTCAAATTTCTAGTTTGAATATGTAGGGATATACCTGTAGTAAATGTCAGCGTTTTTGTCCAAATCACGTACATCATTTTTTTAGATTAATTAAATGGATTCAACTACGTTTTTTTGACGTGTCGGGACAGGGAACATTAGCCCGAAATAGGTGTAGAATTTGATGAAGGTCTGGGCTAGTAACGTGTGTGCAAATTTTCAGTTCATTTCCTCATTCCGTTTATCCAGAGTAATCATCATTATTCCCTAAAATGACCAGAAAATGAAAAATGAAAAGCGTTGCAACGATTTTACTCAAACCCGGCTAAGGATAGCAGGGAAAATCGATTTTTCAATTCAGTTCTCACTAAACTTCTATGTTATCCTTTGCAAAGTTTACCATATTAAGTGATCCACTTGATATTTTTTAAGATTTTCAAGTTTTATGCTTTAGGCCTTTGGACCTTAGTGGTGTTCCTTTAATTGAATTATTTTTTGTGATAATCGCTTCCGTGCTTTTCTTTTCAACTCATAAAGTTCAAGTCTCTAATTTTACTTAAATCTTTTCGTGTGTGCATCCTTTCCTTTGAAACAAAGTTATTTCGACGTTCTCATTTTATAAAAGAGATAATCTTTATTCATAGCTTTACAATTTACCACTAGAAGGTTTGCTACTGATCAATGTGAGAACACCGTGACAATATTGTATAGATCTCGACAAACAATTTGTTTGCTCTTTATAAAGCCAGGAAGCAGACGAGAGTGTGTCGTCTGTAAAATTGAAAGAAACCCATTCATCCAAGAGTCTCTATTAAACTTGGTTAATATTCATCAATAACACTTAATAATCACACTGTTTGTGTGATTTTGCAAATGTTAAAAATCAAGGCAGCTTCAAAAAGCAATTTACAGGAAAAGATCCTAACAATTGTTTTCAAACATTTTGCAGAGATAAAATATTGTTGAAATCGGATCCAGCACATATTATATAAAGAAATTCTATAAAAAAAAAAACTAGGTTAAGATGTTTAAATTTCATTCTCTTTAAGACGCCTTTTGCATAAATATTATCAAAGACAAACAATTCTGCACGCTCAAAGAATTTCTATTTAAATATGCTATTTTACGCCTTACACTAAAGGTAGTAAATTCAAAGCTGCAAACAAAGAGATTGGTTGTCTTGCACACGACACAAGCATATCTGTATCAAATTATTCCAACTATAGACCAAATGTCATGATGACATAACAGAGTTTGTAAGTTCTATATATCATTATATTGAATAAAGATGCACTCAGAGTCACCAAAACTTCTTTTGTAGTGATATAAACATATGCTTTACAATTCGATATGAACTAACGGCAATATAAATATTTTTATAATTCCTACATGGACTAATTAACGTCAATGTATGAAGTTCATTATGAAGCCTGCACAATTTTCAATTTTGTCATTTTGGGCGTTCTCTAGGGATTTCGTTATTTCTATCATTATATATTAGAATAACTTAACGACTATAATTACGTTAGATATTCTGACATGCAAGCCCACATCTCACATGTGCATTTAAAATTACACGCATGTGAATAATTATAACACAAAACTATACTTAATTTAATGCACATTATGCCACAGAAATCCAATATTTTATTCTTTAGAACCTGTCAAGCATGTGATTGATTAAGAGCAAATTAGATGTTAAACAACTGAAGTTGCGCTGAATGTGCAGCAATCTGTTGTAAAGGTAGCAAAATGTAAACACATAGTATTTTGACTTCCGTACAAAATACCTATTCACTATAATTATATCCATTGCCAACAGAGCAAAATAAGTATAAGATAGTTTAAATTTGTGGCAAATGAGTATTGTTTTGTAAACTGTCACGAAATACCAAATAATGAAATAGTTTTTGAGAAATAAAAATGATAGCATTGTTGAGGCATAATGGGCCTTTAATCAAACATAAACAATAACTGACCTTACTAACATTTAACATTGATTTGAGCCTAGTGGCGATATCATAGTCTACCTATGTGAACAGTACCGTCTTATCATGATCTTAACTGTTCTTTTTTAAGTCAGTGTTTATTATGATTGTTTTTCTGAAAATAAGGAATGGTTTTGTCCAGATTGAAACATGAACAAGTCCATTAAAGCTATTTAGCGTGATAAGTATCTGGAAAATAAGTGATAGCTTCCGAAGAAAGTTGCTGACTCGGTTTGATTGAGTCTGTACATGAGGGATAATGAAAGAATGCAACATCCCTCACGTCCCCTTGCACCGGTTTAAGTAGATATTATATAATGCTGTCTGTTGTACAATAAACTGATAAACTAAACTATAGTTTTTCTTTAAGTACCATGTGTTTATGATTATAACTAACAAAATCAATACATGTTCGTTTATTGTCAAGCTTTTATCGAGTCAATTGTTGCTTGAATCCATTACAAAAATTATTCTCGTCAGGATGTATTGGCTCTTAAAACGGCAATTTAAAGAGCAATTTGTCAGAAGATTAAAGTAAAGATTATGTGAACGGTAATTTGAGAAAAGATACAACGGTTTTTTGAAAGGTAATTTGAATAAAAGAAATCATTTTATAATTATG